CTGAGAGGAACCTTATTTTACTATGATATCGATGGTTAGAAGGTAAAAGGGCGTAAACGCCAATTTCAAAATTGTTCGAGAGAGCCGAAAAACAGATATTTTCATATGAACTGTGTTACAACCTTAGAACATCGTATTACACTTCGATTTGAGACTTATAGTATGATTTATAATGAGTTTTTACGTATTTTGTATTGATTAATTGTTCATAATCATAATATATTTGTGTATTTAAAGCCAATTTAAAAAAAAAATTACTCTTACGCCCCAAAAATGTTCTATTGACTATAATGGCTTCCATAGCTTAAATAAAATATTGTTTTATTTGTTTTATATTATTTATTAAATTCAATGAAGATAATATGTAGTAAAAGTATTTCATAAATTGTAAATATAAACTTAAGATTTAAAACCATTATTATGTGAAAATAATTAATTTATTAATTTAATAAAATCTGCAAAAAAATATAAAAATACAATTAGTACATAGGCACTTAGAAAATTATTAAAACTGAATATTAGCCAAATATTTACCTGGGATCCAATTGAATCAGGAATTTCGAAAAGGGCTCATAACTGAAAATTCAAATTTTTCAGGAAACACAAAAAACTGATTTAATTTTTAATTTTTTTTTCTAAAATTATGGATTATTATTTAATGTTATGCCTACGTAATATAACATTCTTAAAGTAAATTTTTATTGGAAAAATGATTCATTAAGTTTTCCGAGATGTAAGTCCTTTTCGAAATTTATACGAGGATTACATGGATTTAAAATTGAAACAGATATTAGCTCTTTTCGCTCCTAAAATATCGCTCTATATCAGTAAATGAAAAAAAACATGGGAAAGTATATTTTGATAAAAACTCGAGATAGGCCCTTTTCGAAATTCCCAATTCAATTTATTTTTGAACATTTTTCTTGTAGGTACCTAATCAAACCTAAGATAATTATACTAATGAATAATATAATGCCCTGAGTTCTGGTGTCGAGGTCAGTTAAATAAAATAAGCGTTCTATTTTTATAGTAGTTTATTATTTTTTAGTTTTTATGTTTTATTAAAATTATAAATATAATGTATTGCAAATTGCAATTATTACTTATTTCTTTTTAAGTAAGAATAATAAATGTTAAAGCAATTTAAAACATGACAATAAACAAACTCTGTTATATAAAAATAATAATAATTAGAGAAATGTTTACAAATTTAGTTAATGATTAGTAATAATAACAATTAACAAAAACAATTAACTTTAAACATAAATTCATGATTTTTTATCGCTTCCAATCTCCTTAATAACAAATACAATAAATACGATGTTACTAAGTGTAACAGTAACACAATTATTTATTAGAGTTAAATGAGTTTAACCATTCAAACAACTAAATAATGTCTACTTACAAATTTATATTCAAATAAATTTCGATTTCGGGTTTGAGATGTTTGACTGTTTCTGGTAGGTACCTAATGGCTAATACCTATCAGTTTTACTGTTCTGTTCAAACGAACCGAACGTTCATTGTATTATCATGCCGCTTAACGCTTTTTAAAGCTCTGACAAAACCACTAACAAAAATGATAAATTGATGTAACCGTCAGCAATGACGCTACGTCTTACCAAGTTTCCTTGAATGCCATTTACATATTTTAATTGACGTTTACACCCAATTTTTTCATTCCCACCAGTTCTATGCCGTTTACGACCACATATTAAAACATCGACTCATGGATATATCGATGGTTAGAAGGTAAAATAGCGTAAACGCAACTTTTTTCAAAAATCGATGTTTTTGCATATTGTTGTAAACGGCATTATTATATATCGATTAATCGAACCTAAACATCGCTATCATTTGTATTTATCCATGAGTCGATGTTTTAATATGTGGTCGTAAACAGCATAGAATTGGTGGGAATGAAAAAATTGGGCGTAAACGTCAATTAAAAGATGTAAACGGCCACTCTGTCCCATAAATTATAAATATTATATTATACCTATTTGTTATAAATAATAATGGTTACCTAATGAATATTTGTTATAACAAATAGGTAGGTTCTGTAACGTGTAATTATTTTTATTTTATCTTAATATTTTTAGTTGTGTTAAATTCGACAAACGGTGGGATCCGCGTATTTCTACATCGTATACTAAATCGTGAGTATTTGACTGAATTTACCTCTTTTCTGTATTGCTATGAATTATTATCAGTGATGTAAAAATACCGTATTTTATTTTTTAATTGTATAATACCTGTATTATACGTGTATAATAGAGTATTTTACAAAAATCGTATGAAGTTTAGATAATTGTTAAATATATGGCTACCAGAGTATAATAAGAATGTAAGATCAATAATATTTCAGTTTATTGATGAATAATGAATAAAGAAGCATTTTGATTATTACATTATGAAATGGCATTCTGGTAATAAATTAATAACTACCCAATAGAAAATATATGAAAATGTATTGGTTTTAAGTTTTGAATATTAGGTTTTAATATTTGCAGTAATTTTAGTTATTAGTACCTATGTAATTATTTAATTAGTAAGTGTTGGTCGCGGAAGTAATGCGAAAGCTGTTCCCGCGACGCCGTCGGTTCAAAACTGAAAAAAAAAAAAAAAAAAATTAGTAAGTGTTTACTTTTTTGAATCAGTTTTTGTACATATTAAGAAATTATTTACCAAACGAAATGCATTATAGGCATAAGCCTCTTTACATAATAAGCATTTTCGTTTTTCAATATTTTCAATATAATACTTGGTAAAATATTTGTCAACAATAGCTTTTTGCTTTGAAGGTCGACCCATAGTAAAAAGGGTACTTTTCTGTTATTCATACTACCGTTCGATGCCGCTACTACCACGACTACTCAATATTTTGTTAACTCGACTACTATACTACTATAGTACCTACCGTTCCAACAGTTCCGTATTTTAAGACATAATACTCATGAATTTTCCATTTATATAATAATGTATAGTAGTATAACCTGTAATATCAGTTTTCGCATAAATTATCACAGTAGCGGAGAGTTATATAATTTATTATATAAAACATAAAATCATCGAAACTATCACAAAACGTCCGATTAAAAATTCTCATAAAATCATCAAGATATTAAATATATACAGGGTGAACAAGTGGGTACCGCTCTGCTGTACAGTTGTTGTCGAGTGTGTCATTGTTATGCGGATGTGTTATATTTGAATTCAATGATAAATCATTGCCCATTGGATACGAAAAACAATTCTGAGCGGAGACGCACCGTTAGACTATGCCTAGCGTCAGTGGCACCGAACACGTATGGCTACTGGGTTAAATACCATATAACTTGTGGGTTTGTAGGTGGGTGACTGCTTAGTCTTAGTGCTTCAAGGTCTTGTTGAATTTGATAAATTACTACTATATAAATATACAATATCGTAAAATTTATATACCTATTCAAACGCTCATAAAATATGAACCGCATCGGTGAGGTATTTTTATATTTTTAGCCATGACTATGATTTATTATCGATTTTATCTATATCAGCGTCGGCGGGTAGTCGAGAAAACAGAATTGAGACTCGCGGTATAGTGTCTAGTGTCCACGATTATGACTTATGAGTTATGACTTATGAGTTATCAGTAAGATATCAGACTACTATTTACGAACGATTTACAAATGTTTACTACTAGAATTATAGAACTTAGGTTAATAGATCTATTACTAGAATAGTTCTTTGGTGTTGATCTTTATAATCTCTTTCCTATGATCGTGACTACCACCTACCAATAACCATGTCAGGTACTTGACGTTTGGCCGTGCTCCGTCGTTGTATTATTGTTATCAGTCGAAACAATATGTATTGCATATATTTTCTCTTTATTATTGATCTATCATTTATTACAGATTTTTTTTTATACCATTTGTATTTTATTTTTTATACATTACGTATAATACGCTTGTATAATACAATATTATACAATTTACATCACTGATTATTATTATTATTTATTTATTATTTATTCTTAGGCCAGAAGCTAGAAGGGGACCGTATATAATTTTACATTTATATTTAAAAACTGTTATCAGCAATACAGATTAATATTTAATATTATCATTATTGAACACAATAGCGCAATCCGATGTAATTTTGTCTACAAAAATACACTGTACGAGAATAATGATCCTGTTCTGTAGAATCAACAAAATTGTATATTTTTTTTTAACTAATACCTACTCACTTATATTGTATAGGACGCATTGAACTCTGTTTTTTAATATTTTAATCTTAAACTTTATAATAGGTATGTCTTCAAAATTATTACAATTTCGTGCTTTTTTTTTATAAATTAAGTTATTATAGTTATTGTATATACTTTTTTTTTGAAATAAAAAGAAAAATCGGAGTTTGATACTGCGAAGCAGTCTCTTCTTTCAGATCATTATCAACCACCCAGTCCCTCCCCCCTAAATAGGTATCGGGCAGTAGATTAGTGGAAAATTATCAAAATTAAAGTGGAAACTAAAATATAAAAAGTAATTTTCAAATTTGGTAGAAATTCGAAAATTTGAAAAACCAGCACCGGGCATGGTCCCTTTTAACACGGAAATTAAATTATAATAAAAATATTAATTATAAAATAGTGATTCTAGGCGCTTATAATAATTATAAGGATTATAATTGTAAGGAGACGACGACGTACGATGTACAAATCACAACATTTTCTGATTTTCATCAATAGATTATAGAGCTGCAAAGCCTACATGACGGTGGCTGCCTTAGAAATAATATTCTTAGAAAATCTGTGCTGAAATTACCGCGTACAAGAATATTGGTTTTATAATATACCTATTAGGTACCTACTTTATTTTTATAACTAACCGCCCGATTGAAAACCTACGCTGGTGGTACGTAGGTAATAGGTATACATGGGTAATATAATGTACATATTATCACATTACATGTTTACCTATATCTAGAATACAGCACTGACCTCTGGAAAAACCATGTTGAGTTCCGCGGCGGTGTTGATTGCGTTTTGCGCTTGGCCAGCGCTGCTTCAGTGGACGCCCGCCGGTGCCGCGAACATCCTTGCGGTGCAGACGATCCCTGGCAAGAGCCACTGGAACGTGATGCGGGCCGTGCTGCAGGCGTTGACTGACCGTGGCCACACCGTAACCGTGTTCACGCCATTCGTGGACGGCGACCGTGATGGTTACACCGAGGTGGACGTGTCCGATCAAACGGGACCGAGGCTAGAACTGGACGCCACGTTCCTGATTGAAAACTTTGGGACCACGCGAAAGTTAATGACGAACATGGTGAATGTCACGCGGGTAGGTTGCGACATGATTTACGAACACCGTCAGATGGCTGACATCTTGAACGGGACAGCGGCGCGGAAATTCGATTTGGTCGTCACCGAACCACTAGTGTCCGAGTGCGTGGCTTACGCGGCCACCGTACTCCACGTGCCCATGGTGTACGTAGTCCCGCCACCGATCATCACGTACTTGGAACGTCCGATGACCGGCCACGCCTCGAATCCGGCGTCCACGGGGCATGTGCTGTTCGGCCACGGCGTCCCCGAAACGTTCGCCGAACGTTTCGCGAACCTGGTGCTAACGGTGTACTGTTCGACGTTGACGTGGTACTTCGAATGGCAGCTCCGGCGGGCCGATCCACGACCGTACGACATCGTGGACTTGGTCAGACCGTTGATGATTTTCACCAACACGCATTTCATCACCGAACCAGTTCGGCCGCTAACGCCGGACGTCGTACAAATCGGTGGCATACATCTGACTCAGTCCAAACCAATACCGAAGGTAATATTAAGTGGACGCCGTGACTCCGTGAGGTGTATGTGTGTATGCCGTATGGATGTATAGAAATGTATATAAAAAGGGGTTATAATTATTTTTAAGTCAGGTATATAGTAAATTATAATTTATATATATATTTTTTTTCGATCTACCTATACCACGTTTTATAAAAAAAATTATCAGCGTTTACAAAAATGTTTTCCTATGTAATAATATGTAATATATAGACATAGGTAATTCATAAGATATAAGAAAAAATATTTCATCTAAAATAAATATAATTTTACGTCATGGTTATTATTCAAAGTCGTATTTACTAGTACGCGATGTACCTATGCATAGGCGCAATTTAAACTTTTGGCTTGTGGGGGCTGAATATATTAAAGGCAAGTAGGCCATTGCAATATAGCATATTAAAATTGTTGTCCTAGGTTTTTTTTTTTGGAGGGGGGCTACGGCTAAGTTTGGAGGGCTTAAATACTATGTACCTATGTCCTATATACACATTTATACACTCTACACAGTGCGATAAGGTTGTCCACCTATCGAGATATAAGCATATCCTACCGAATAGTACATGCGCGTTATAATTCTTACGAAGTTTTGTTTTTCAAACGACAGGTTAATTTGTTGACAGGACATTTTAGAATTCATTGAAGATGCACCTAATGGTGTGATTTACTTTACGTTCGGATCGGTGGTTTCGATGTCGTCGTTACCGGAAAATGTTCAGAGCGCATTCCGGAAGGCTCTCGCTCGGGTTCCACAAAAGGTTTTGTGGAAATACGAAGGTGAAATGGCAGACAAACCGAATAATGTGATGACGCGGAATTGGTTTCCTCAACGCGATATACTTGGTTCGTTCTGATATATTTGAATCATAACCAATAACCATAGTATTATATTTAGTTTTAAATATTGATCAAAATTTCCGAAAAAAACCAGGGATTTTTCCAGTTTTTTTTCGGAAAAATTAGGAAAATTTGGTTTCATTTAAAATTTCCGGAAAAAATAGTTTTGACGAAAAAAACTGGTTTTTTCCTGAAAAATTGAAAAATTGTTTTTTTTTTCTAAAGAATTGAAAAAGTAATGTAGATATAGTGGAAACAATCTAATAAATAATGATAGTTGATAATCATATAACCTATATATTATACATTCCATTAAAGGCTGTAGTGGATAAATCTAGAGGATTCTATATAGGTACTTGATTAATAAATAATTATAATTTGTAATATTAACTACTAAAGTACTAACTATTAACAATATAATGTTGAAGAAAATCGAAGCATTTTTACTGCCTCCAAACCATAATGACAGACACATAAAAAAAAATTAAAAATTAAAAATTAAAAAAAAATATCAATACATTCATCTTTCTTCTCTGAATCTAAAATTACAAATTATGTCCGTAAACAGCTCCTAAACAGTAAAAATATTTTTAAAATGTTATGATAAAATTAAACTTAAAATAAAAATAAATTTCAAGTGTCTGCGGTTATTCGTTTTTGAATAAATTATAAGAAAATAAGAAAATTGCTACTTGAGAAATTGAGTAAAAAACAAAAAAAAAATGGTAATTTTTACACAAAACTAATTTTTGACAAATCGATTTGGTGTAACTCAAAAACTACCAACCGCTTTCACCATATATTTTTATTAGCATTTTCCACGAACAGTAACACTTTTGAAATATTTTGACTCTTTGTGAGCTAGTTATTGTCTTGAGAAATATTTCAAATTTTGTAAATTGTTTTAAGTTATTCTTGATAAATAAAAATGACACTTGCCTTCTTTATTTTTTATATATAACTAAAAACTATATAGGTAGTATTTAATAAAAGTGTACTTACTTATTTTCATCTGCTGAAAAATATAACCTAATATGCAGTAAATTCATTAAAACCCATAAAAATTTATCAGGACATTTTTTTTTTCAAATGTTCAATAGTTTCCTCATGATAAATACAAAAATCATCTACTTAGTGTTTGAAATATTATTATTTTTACTCAACGGACTAATTTAAAACTGTTTATTGTTTCCTGAAAACCAGACGAATTTCGGAGTTACTGCTTTGTGGCTTATGGCGTCATCTCACTGCCGAGGCTCCCAAAAGTATATTGTAACAAAAAAATCAATACATAGCAATACTATGACAGGTATACTTTGAATTTTTTGACTCCACATCGGTCCTAATTAGTAATTTTAAACCCTTTGCGGATAGCTACAACGCGTCTTGCGATTTTCGAAGGACGGGAGAAGCTTACCACGGTATATAGATATAAGTATATAACAAATCAATTACAATTCAATGATAGTTATCGAGGTATATTACAATAGGTAGGTACACAAAACACGGTTAGTACAACATTTTAAGTTTTACACGTACAAAACAATTATATGATAATAGTATAACGGTATAGATAGTCTAAAAAATCAATTATTACAATGCAATATGGACATATGGTAGTATCGTGGTATACAACAATAGGTGTACAAGACATGGTGAATACAATAATTCAAAATTTAACATTTAAATAAAATAAACACATACAAAGCAATACATTATAAACGTATAAAGATAATATAACAAAATATTGCAAATAAATTATTACAATGCAAAGGTAGTATCGTGGTATACAAGAATAGGTACAGAAGACATGGTTAATACTTAATACAATAATACAAAATTTAAAGTTTAAACAAATGCGTACAAAACAATTGCATAATAATATTATGAAGGTGTAAAGATAATACAAGAAATCAATAGTGATGCAAAATGCAATGGCACGCGGTGACACTATGTACTTGCGAAAAGTTCTAGTGCAGAAAACGGGACGACAGACGGACGAACGTCCTCAGTGACGATCTAAAAAAAGAAAAAAGGAAGTGGGCTGAACATTGACGACAGGCGGCCCATCGCGTCTGTGACCAGCTGGTTACACGACCGCGACCACGGTAACTCGGCTAACGTCATTCGATGTCGACATAGCTCTCACAGAAACATATTCTGCGAGCCGCGTTCACCAGACATCTTACGACGAATTGCCTGGACCTCTTCCACGCAGATTTTCGCCGTGGCTGCGCAGGTGTCTGAGGGAGTTCATCCGGCGAGACTTCGAGACTTTCGGCGAGAGGTTCGATCGTCTTCGATTCACCGTACAGAGGCGATTCCAATGTCATCTCCGGGCACGACCGGAAGGGTCCGATCGGCAGTCCGGCACCCACGGATATCCTTCGATCGTCAACGGCCAGGTCCAACGCGTCGATAGTGCATAGGACAAGACTATTTTGTTCCCGGGTGGATGCTGCAATCGTTGAAACCGCCATCTTGCAGCAGTGCACTGGCGAATCCAAATCCATCTCCGGAGACGACCTGAACAGTTTTCTGAGCCCATCATAACGTGATGCGGGTAATGGCGCCTTGATCCTCCGATCGACGGCTAAATCTAACACGTCGATGACAGATCGAAGTCCGGTAAAGCATTCGTCCGACCGGCGGCTTGTAACTTCCATCGCGTTATTTACGGCCATTTCAAACAACTCTTGACAATGCTACGGTGGCGTATTGAAAATATCCAAACGGGTTTTCAAAGAACGTTATTGAGAGACTTGTCTCGTGGAACAGCGTTAAACAGTATATAACGGTTTTCAACAAATTATTGGTCACCCGCAAACAAAAATCAATAGTATTGTTATTTTTCTGGTTTACATTGTAGCCAGTATACTAGTTGGCTTTCAGTCAGCTTGGAAATAGCAAATATTCACAATTAAATCATAATTTAACAATCATTTTTACAAATATAAACCTACGAACAAGATAATGTCCTTATAATTCTACTGGTTTCGACGCAATCGGAATCATATCACATCGCATGTCGGGAATATTTTTAATTCAAATTTAAAAAAAAAAACCACTTTAGTGTATGAAAAACGAGTGGATTACAACAGGTATATCGTAGATATATTATAATGTAGAAAACAAATATATTAATTTCAAACTAGAGTGAAAATTCTCCTTACGGACACCTCTAAATAGCAGGCACCTCCAAATAGCGAACTAAATTTCAGTAACTGCAAGAGATTTTCCGGTATTTGAGGTTTCACTATATAAAAAAATCTTATAGAATTTAATATTCTCACCTGTATTTCATAGGGGAATAAAATACACACTACTGGCTAAAAAAAATATACTTTGCAATGGTCTTTTATAATAAACCACTGTTGTGTCTTAATTTAACTGCGATTTGATTAATTATATAGTTTCAATAATATAGTAGGTCTCAGACACTCATTATTATTCCAAAAACTATCAACGTTTTGAAAATATATTTATTAACGTTGATTTGTTGAATATTATTAGTGTAGTGTTGGTATGAAGAGAAACCTTGTATGATGTAAAAATTATTATATTAATTATTAATTCCTAAAGCAGAAATGATAAATCGGATTAAAAGCGTTCTCGGAAAGTAACATATTATTATTATTCAGCTCGTGCATATTATACAAGTGTATACAAGTATACAACGAAATATAATATAATTTATTGTTGGTTAATTTCGAAATGCATTTTCAGATCTAATAAAAGTAAACATTTCAAATATTATTCTGTAATAAAATATAGTATACGTATATCGTTGAGTTTTCAAAAACTGGTAGACAATTATTATTAGCAGCTAGTGGTAAAAATGTCATTAAAATTCTCTAGGTACTACAAAAATATAAAACGATTGGAATGGATTTCCATAAAGATTCTTAATTTTTTTAGATTCTGAGCGGAGCGATGAATGTATTGGTTTTACAATGATGTATGTTTTTTTTTATTTATATTTTTATTTATTTATATTTTTGTGTCTGTCATCACGTTTTAGGACAGTAAAAGTGCTTGGATTTTCTTCATCAGTAGCTTTTCTGATAGGAAAGTGAATCTAGTTGGTACTTTGGGGGGTCAAAAGTATAAATTTCCCAGTAGTTTTCACAAGCGCCGGGAAAAACAACATAAAAATTAAGGAAAAACGGGAATTTTTACGCAAAATCGATTTTCCAAAAAATCGAATTTGGTTTTTGGTGTAACTTTAAAACAAATGACCGTAGATACATGAAATTTTCACTGGTTGTTTATAATTGCATTTTCTATACACGATAACATTTTCAAAATATTTTGATTTATTTTGAACTGTTTAGGGACATTTTCATTTTCCATTTTTTTTAGTTTTTTATCTAAAAACATCAATAAAATTTTATTTGTTGGTTGCGAAAGCTTGAAAATTTAATAGAAGGCTCCTAATATGTTGTTTCAAAGGCAGATGAAAAATATTAAAAATCCTTAGTCACAATTTTTTTTTATAAGCATTTAAAGTTCAAAAAATCACAAAATATGGAAAAATCACGAAAATTAGCAAATTATTTTGAGTTAAGAATTCGTCAAAATTTTTCTTTTTAAATCTAAGATTTGAAAATGAAACACAAGATTCCTTATAAGATTATCTACCTTTATCAATAAAAAAATCTCTACCGGACAGTCAAATTAAATTTTTATGAGCGTTTGAAATTCAAATTTTTACAACATTGGATTTTCACTTGATTTCTCATGTAGCGATTTCCTTATTTTGTTGTAATTCAAAAACGAATAACTGTAGATACATGAAAATTTCACTGAATGTTTGTATTAGCATTTCCTATACACCATACAATTTTGAAAATATTTTGACTCTTTTTGAGCTGTTTATGGACATTTACAGCTTTCAATTTTTTTTAGTTTTTTTTTCTATAAATATCAATAAAGTTTTATGTGTTGGGCCAAAAGGTGTAAAAATTTAATACAAGGCTCCTGATATATTGTTACAATATCAGTTGAAAAATATTAAAAATACATAGGCACAGTTTTTTTTTATAAGCATTTAAAGATCAAATTTTGACAAAATTTATCAAAATCTCGAAAATAATCAATCATTGTAATTAATAAATTATAAAATGTTCAGTTTTTATAGCTAAGGATTGCAAATTCAACACAAAGGTTCTCGTAAATAGTTCATACTGTAACCAAAAAATCTAAAAAATATATAAACACACTTATTTTTTACAGACATTTTAATTTCAAATTTAGACAAAATTTCATATTTAAACCAAGAATTACGATTTTAGTTATTTTGTTGTGATTGAATAATACTATTCGTGGGTACTTGAAACTTCTAAAGTGTACTATTATATATCTATGATAGTATCACGGTTTTTGTTGATGTATAACGCGTTATAAGTATCTAATGGATATTGTGATATGATTAATTTGGAATTTATTATAGGTACCTATTATAGGTCAATTTTTTGTTTAATACCATAGATATGTATATAATATGCCTTATACATAGACTGACATACCATCACCGCTCAGAATCGTTTTTCTTATACAATGATATTATATCATTGAATTCAAATTTAATACCATCCATTATACAGTGACCCACTTGTAACCTACTGTACAGCAGAGCGACACCCACTTGCCCACCTTTTTTTTTTTTATTTTTATATTCTGAGTGGAACGATGAATGTATTGATTTTACAATGATGTGTGTTTTTTTTTATTTTTTTATTTTTATTTCTTTTGTGTCTGTCATCACGTTTTAGAACATTACAAGTTCTTGGATTTTCTTCAACAGTAGCTTTTCTGATAGAAAAGTGAATCTAGTTGGTACTTTGGGGGGGGGGTCAAAAGTGAAAATTTCCCAGTAGTTTTCAAAAGCGGCGTGAAAAACAAAATAATAATTAAGGAAAAACGGGAATTTTTACACTATAAAATCTGTTTTTGAAAAAATCGATTTTGGTTTTTGGTACAACTCTTAAACAAATGACCGTAGGTTCTTGAAATTTTGACTGAATATTTATATTTGCATTTTCTATACACGATAACATTTTCAAAATGTTTTGATTTATTTTGAACTGTTTAGGCACATTTTCATTTTCCATTTTTTTTTAGTTTTTTCTCCTAAAAATATCAATAAAATAAATTTTATTTGTTGGTTAAAAAAGCTTGAAAATTTAATACAAGGCTCCTACTATATTGTTACAATGGCATTTGAAAAATATTAAAAATCCTTAGTCACAGTTTTTTTTTGTAAGCATTTAAAGTTAAAAAATTGACAAAATATGGAAAAATCACGAAAATTAGCAAATTATTTTTAGTTAAGAATTCGTAAAAATTTTTCTTTTTAAATCTAAGATTTTAAAATGTAATACATGATTCCTTATGACTTATGAGACTATCTACCATTATCAAAAAAAAAAAATGTCTATAAGAAAGTCAAATTTAATTTTTATGAGCGTTTGAAATTCACTCGATTTCTCATGTAGCGATTTCCTTATTTTGTTGTAATTCAAAAACGAATAACTGTAGATACATGAAAATTTCACTGAATTTTTATATTAACATTTCCTATACACCATATAATTTTCAAAATATCTTGTGTCTTTTTGAGCTGTTTACTGACATTTACAGTTTTAAATTTTTATAGTTTAATTTAAGAATACATACATTGTAAAATTTTTAACTAGTTTTGACGAATTGCGCTATTTAAAATATTTTAAACTAATTATCAATTAGAAATTCATAAAAGTTTTTCTTTTCGTAACTGAGTTTAAAAATTTTAAATAGAAGAAGTTACATAAGTTTTTCCACCTGTGACAAAAAAAGTACCAAATATTTATATTTGAATTTACCATACATGATAAAATTTTCAAACTATTTTGACTCTTTTTGAGCTATTTATAATCATGAGAAAATTATTTTGTAAATTATTTATAATTTTAAAATTTTTTTTTTAATTTTCCGGTTTTTTTCGGAAAAGTATTATTTTAATATTCTCCAATTTTTCCACGTTTTCCAAGGCTCTGGGAAAAAAACAGTTTTTTCCGAAATTTTCCCGAATTTTTCCATATATTTTTCGACATTTTGATCTCTAGTTTTAAACTGGAGTATAACATTATCATTACCAATAATAATTGTCAAATGTTTACCCACGTGCTATATGTATTTATGTAACTCGACATTATTATGTGTAGTGCATCCCAATGTGAAACTGTTTATCAGTCACGGAGGCATATCAGGAGTGTACGAAGCTGTGGACGGTGGTGTGCCTGTACTAGGATTCCCCTTTTACTACGACCAACCGAGAAATATTGACAATCTTGTTAACGCAGGTATGGCGATCTCTATGGACCTGTTATCTGTTACCGAAGAGACGTTTTTAAATGCCGTTTTGGAGATTGTCAACAACGACAGGTAAGAAATTTAACGTCATTCAATAAAACGTTTAAATTTTACTCACTGTATTCTCAGGTACCAGAAAAACGCCAAAATCGCTTCCGAACGGTTTAAGGACCGACCTATGTCACCAGCGGAGTCGGTAGTTTACTGGACAGAGTATGTTCTACGTCATAACGGAGCATTACATTTGAAATCCCACGCCCAGCATCTGGCGTGGTATCAATATTTTCCGGTTGATGTATTAAGCACATTTTTATTCATCACGTTTGTCTTT